CTGAGACGAAGTGTCTACGAGGACCTGTTGATAACAACTATTAATCCGAAATGTTGATAACAATTGTTTAATCCGAAAACGTTTGCAATGTGTTTGTGATAGCCCGTTTGGGGCATTTTTTATATACCTTTTATAAAGGATTTTAAACAATTTTTTGTGATATATGGTATACAGACAGGAACTTAGTTTCCTCGTGGAATTTTATATTTCTGCTTATGATAATAAAAATAATACATTAGATCTAGTTCATACAATAAGTTTTCATTTACGTTAATAATATGTGATGTGATGAGACCAGAGACCATTTGGCCAGAAAAAGGGGGGCATTAGGTAACCTTTTTGCCACAAATATAGATATGTCATGCATAAAGTCTAGGTTGGCATAACTAAATGAACTACAAAATCTGACAATCACTGCATACTAGGTTGCATACAACCACCAACTTGTGGGTTAAAATGGTGAATATCAACAAACTACTCGGAATATTCATTAAATGCCTTGTAAAATTAAAATGAGCACTTGAAAACTTTCTCAAAAACACATTTCTTTCAAAATATATATTGCAAATTATTATTTTCCAGCAAGCTAAAATTAACAAGTCATTGCAATTATACTTCATCTCTTATGCAGCTCTTAGTAAAACAATGTATTAGAATACACTTACTCCATTGAAAAATTGAGAATAAATGAGAATGATTTATTTCTTTATATACAAATACTATGTTTACTCAAATTACCATTTTTTACGGGTACTATATTGGACACAATATGATCTAACTTGTGACGAGTTTTAAAATAATATATCAATGATCTCGTTAACTTAAAAGAAAATATAAATAAGTATTCATGAAGAAGAACTGAAAGAAGAACAGAAAAGCAAAGAAAAGTAGGCATATCTAAACAAACATATTTATAATGTATTATAAACTAAGAGAAGTACCTATTAGGAAACTACTTCATTTTATCATTAGTTAGTTAGGAGGTACTAATAGTAGGTATTAGATAGGAATTATTGAGTAGTGATTACAACTCCCTGAGGATGGTAATATCTACAAAAATTTAAAGTTGTTAACAAAAAATCAAAAATAAATCAGCAGTATGTACACACAGTCCCAAAAATAAAAATATACCAGCATAAATAATTTTCTATGACTATCAAAAAATAATAAATGATTTATAACCTATCAGTAATTTATTATCAAGTTTTCAATGGGTACTTTTTATATTGAAGTGGTTAAACAATTAAATAAGCCAATATCATTAAATTTTAATACATACATTAATATTATCGCATTTCACTGGATTATCAATATTGGTTTTAAAAGTGTAAACTTCTTAATATAAAAATTATATATGAAAAATTTAATGGGTATATGATACCCTTTGAAGGGTCTGTATCTCAGATGGGAGACTTTTTTTTAATTGTGTCCTTTGAAATCATACAGTGAACGGCTGAATTATGGAATATTATAATTATTTCGAGAACCATCGGTTTTGAGGCAAATCCCGAAACAAGTCAACTTTTGTTATAAAATACCCATCTTATAACGTACATGGTGTATGGATGACGTCACCGGTGTGGGTGTAGTGACGTAATCGATAATTTTTTAAATAGAAATCAAGTAAGAAAGTAACCAAATTATGCATAATAATTATTTTAAATTAAATGTTCGAAATGCTATCCATCGGTTTCTTGACAATATGCGAATCTACGGACACATTCATCAAGTACATTGCGGATGACTTCTGGAGTAATTAGACTCATTTCATGTCTAATTCTATCTTTCAAGTCCTGTAAGTTTTGGGGTCCATTGACATAAACTTTTCATTTTATGTAACCCCACAGGAAAAAGTCTAGAGGTGTTAGATCTGGCGACCTTGCTGGCCACTCTATAAAACCTCGTGTTCCGATCCACCTCCTGGGAAAGCAATGATTTAAAAATTGACGTACTTCACGTGTGTAATGCGAAGGGGCTCCATCTTGTTGAAACCAGATATTTTCACTAGGTAAATTTGGATTATTAGCATTTGGATACATGTTAGCAGGGGCAGGCATAAGTTGATTTCTCAAAAAAGTTAAATAACGTTCTCCTGTTAGATTTTCTTCAAAGAAAAAAGGGACCAATGATTCTGTCATTAATGATCCCTGCCCATACATTTACTTTCTGACGTATAAAACATTCCACTACCCTTTAGACAGTAGAGCGATGAGTATGTAGTACTCTAGCCGCATATTCATAATTTCGCCCATCTTCAACCAGAGCAACAGCTTTCGCACAATCTTTGACACTAAGAACCATGATCAATCGTAGGTAAACAAAATGTAAGTGTCAATATGACATAATGATAACAGTCATCAAGCCACTTCGTCATATTACAAGATAACTCCAAAATATTCATAATTAAAAAAGTCCTAAATTGTGGGTGGCAAATTCATTTGGCTCTAAAAAATGATCCAAGGCATATTTTGGCATGAAACAAGAAACAATGCTTAGGAGACATGGTTGTAACCGAAAAATGGGGTTTTAAGAAAATTCGCAATTGGAATTATTCCACAGAATGTTTCAAAGTTAGGATAATAAAACCACATTTTAATTAACCCCGTGAAATAAGTCAAATATAAAATTTTATCAAAAAACTGACTATACCAAGACTAATCTCTGCCTTTTTTTATCATTAAATGGGTTATTCCTATTCAATTATCTTTATTATAGACTATATTCATAAGTACATATAATATTCCGAATAAATCTCGGAAATATAAATTTTTGAGTCGTCATTATAAGGTTTATTTTACTGATTTACAATTTGCTTAAAAAAATTTATATTTTATAATATTGAGTAGAAATTATTCTGCATTTAATATTTTAATAAATATTATTTTGGATAATAAAAAAATAAAATAAATCAAAATTATTGTGAAATAATATCTCATATAGAAGCTCATTGAAGCAATTTATACATGAAAAGCCTATTTGATTTAGCTTCAAATTTTGGGATCTTTGTGGAAATAGCAGATACTGTTAAGATGTTTGATTTTTATACTAGCAAAACAATGGCTAAAAATGATCCCAAATATTTAACCTTGATATATTAGATTGCTTGTACTTGATATATTATATTGTTTTTCTGAATCTGTAAGCCACTGAGTATTTTTTAATATATTATTTACAAGCAGAGATTTACTATTTAACTCACCAAAAACCTAATACCAAGCAACAAGAACCTTGCAGAAAAATAGATTAGTGAGACGTTTGATACAAAAAAGCTCTTGGCAAATAAGCTCCTGGATGATATAATTTTCGATTTGATGTAAATGGAGAAATACTTTTTGTAGAATGAAATGGTAATAAATGTGTTAGTATAGAATTTAATTTTAATAATATAGAACCTATATCAAGATCAAAATCACAAGCTCAAAGCAAAATGTTTATTTCTTAACTGCAAGCATATAATACATTCACAGGAGGCATGGTACAACACTACTGTTTTGTTGTAAAATGTACCACTAAAATCATAGCTAAGAAGTGATATAGGCCATCATTCAGGCAACTGGATGATATTGCGTTAGTAAACTCATGGCTTCTCTAAAACGAGTCAAAAATTACTTTATTAAATTTTTGCTGATCTGTAGCAATTCCCTACCTAAACTTGACTCTTAATACAAGATGCATAGTAGAAAGATCAAGAACATCAACACCTATAGAGTATTTATGGACATAAAATTTGATGGGAAATAACACTTCTCAGAATAGAGACAATGTCCTTGTAGAGACGAAATCATTGCCAAGCCAAACCACTAACATATTGTGGAAAATGTTCTGTAACATAGTGTAAAAATTGTTTTATACAATATCATAATACATAAACTTATTTTATTAGACACAAAGGAAAATGTTAATTGCCATAAATATTTTTAACTCATTCATATACACTTGGAATTACGATAAGACTAACACCCAGTGATCTATTTATAGGACAGATCAAAATTCAAAAATGCAAATACATAAAATAATTTCATTAATACTTCCATATTAAGAACAATATTACTGATAATTATAATGTATAAATAAAATTTTCAAATTTGAAAAACCAAAAAGAAAAATTTGGATGTTACAAATTAAAAGACAAAAACTATATTTAAAACTTGTTTTACCAAGTCTAAACATAAAATATATAACTTTGGATCTTTTTTTTATTTGTTTTGATGTGTTGTGAATAGCCTGTATGATTGAATAACACAAAATATCTCTAGATCAGAGATAACAATATATGTCATTTATTCCCACATAAAAACTACACTGTCTTATACTTTTCATAATCATAAAATTGTTAAATCTCTTAATTTGAACAATTTCTACAGTATTCAAGATAAAATATTAAACAATTTCATTACAGTATAAAGTTATCATGTTTTTACATACATGCAATAACAATTTGGAAGATTTGATTATGATAATAGCCGCCAAAATATTCCAGTGACAAGAAAATATAGATGCAAAAGATGGTAACATAATTAGTAAAAAAATTAAGTTGTTCACAAGAAAGTTTCTAATAAAGCACTTACAATTATTTTGTCTTTCAATGTAAATCAAGCTTAAATAAAAATAATTCATAAACCTGTTAAAATTGCAAGTACCATATATTTCAAATGGAGTTAGATTTTTTAAAATAATTACAAAAATCTTTAGGGATGAAATTGCACTGTTACTAGGATTACCAGAGTGTACTTTTATAGTTTCTATGTACATACCTATACTTTTTGTATCAAAAATTACAACTGGTATACATTCCATTTCCAATATTATTTAGAAAATTTATAAATAATATAAACACTATATACAGACTATAACAGAGTAAGTTCTTTTATATATTATAACACCAGTGATAACAAAATTCACTGGATATTGAGTATATTTTTTGTATAAAAATTTATTGATATTGACTTAATTCAGTATGTATGTGCTTAATATGTTTAGTGCATGTTATAGAAACGTACAGCTTTAAAAATTTTATCCAAAGCTTCTCTGTCTTTGATATCTACATTATAAAATGTAACAGTCTCCCCAGTTATTTTTTCAACCCTTTTCAAAGCTTCTGGCTTCTCTGATCCAATAGCATAGCAATTAACTAAATTATCTAATGCTATCACGGTATAATTATTTTTTAGTAGTTCAACAACTGTGTGAGATCCTACGTATCCAGCACCACCAGTCACCAAAATTGTGCTGTTACCCTTCATTTTTTCAATTGTAACCCACCACCTGAAATAAAACATGAAGCAGGTTACAATTTATTTTTGTCTTATTAAATTAAATAAATATATTTAAAAATCATGTATTTCTTATAAATCACTTACTCTTAATTCAGAATTTGACTTTACACATAAGAAAACCATCAACTCTTAACAACTAAATAGCGTGCAACAGATTCGCTGACAAACACAATTCTAAATAATAATGATACTAAAATTTAAATATTTTAAATAAGCAATACGTGACAACTAGAGCAATAGATGCAATAAACAAATAAACGCAAACATCTATTTTTAAATTTTAATTAAACTTACCTCAAAATTACTTACTTCGTTAAATAACCCAGCGGTATGACTGCATAATAGAATAGGACGAATACGTAACTAGACTTATATAGTAAGTTGAGCATTGTTATCAGAAATTTAAATTTTTGCAGTGATAAGATATGAGATCAATTTGTATACGTCAACATACAACAACCTTAAAATAAATTGCATACATAACCTAACTGAATAACGTATGATTTTTCATCTCTGCTTCTTTTTAAAACTTATGAATGTTTATATCGTTTTGATATTCTAGTTACCCAAGATAGTATTAATAAAATATTCTGAAGAGGAAATAAGATAATTACAACTTGTCGCAACATTGAAAAGAATATCTTTCATAATAAAATTGTAAGCGGCATTTTATATAAGACACAAGAAGTATAAAATAATCTTGGTTTTTGTATTTTGACATTTACTTTCTTTTGCCAACTTCATGGTCTTATGAGATCTAACATAACATAACCTACAAATATAAATATTCACTAAAAAATACAAGAAGAAAATTTTAATAAAATGGCAAGTAAAAAATCTAGTTCAAGAAAACCAGAAGAACTGAAAAAAATGAGCTTAATTCAATTAAAAGAAATATTAAGTCGCGAAGAATCTCTCCTAAAAAATAAATCTATAATATCGAAACTTTCAGATAAAGGAGAATCAATCAAAAAATTTCATGAACAGGTCAAATATGAAATAAAATATAGGGAAGAAATGGCAGATCTAGAGATTTCCATTTCGACGTTACAAATCTCCGAATCTGATAAACATGTTCAAAAACTGTGTGAGTTAGAAAAAAGCCCTGGAAAAGAAAGGTACAAACCATTTTCAACTTTAAACACAACCAAAGAAATTCATACTGATAGGAAGGTTTTTAAGACTATGGAAGATTGGAGTAAATGTAATAAACCAACAAAATTAATACCCTTAGCAGAATCAATGGAAATCCTTAAACAACAAGATGAAAAAATTAAAGAAGAACAAATTAAGTTTAAACATAGACTTCTAGAAAGGCAGTTAGAGGAGGAGCATGCACACGAAGAAGAGGATGAGGACAGTGAGAGTGAGGTTGATAAAGTTGAAAGTGAATCGGAAGATGAAGAGACTGTAGCTGATTTACATATATTAAATACTTAACTGTACAAAAACCCAATCCAAACATTGTGATATAGTCTAAGTTTTATAAATAAAAAAATTACTTAACTGAACATTGTTTACCAATTGTTTTGTAAAGTAACTAAAAAATCCAATCACAACTGTAATCAATCTAATAGAACATTATCTCATGATCTTTAAAAACGATGGCCAAATATTTTCCATATTGGTTTTGTCTATACTGATTTATTTAAGATATGCTAGTGTTTTTCTAATTTTTTTATTTTCTGGGATAAGGGTCTTCTTCATAGTTAAAGCTATATGGTAATATTATGAAATTGTAGAAATAGAAAATTTTTTACATCATTCAACATACTTATATATTTTTATTTACTCTTTCAAGGGATGAGATTTTAGAAATTTTTTTGCTATTTAATTTACAATTTGTTGATGATGTGAGGTTGTGCAATTCTAATTCTTATCTATTGTTGTTGGGATTTTTGAAAAAATAAAACTACGCTCCTCTTAAGACTAGAGCCAAAATTAATGTTAGCTCTGAAATACAATTAACTATTATGCATTCAGTAAAATATACATTCATCACTCTCTCGCATTTTACATATGTATCCTGCTTAAATGTCATCTTTGGTCTTCTTTTCCTACTTCTTTCAGGAAAATGCAACTCAGCAATTCTTCATACTGCACCATTATCATGTTAATATTGAATATCACTTAATCATCTAACTCATGCTTTTATTTTCTCATCAATTGTGTCCCAAAACTTGCCCCAACAGACAGAAAATGTATTATTCTTATTAAAAATATCATGCATCCTGTTCTATCCAGACTTCTCTTTTTTCACAGCTTTCCCCCTATCTTCCTGATTTTTTTCTAGTATACCTTCAGTGATCACTCTCGTTACGTTTGTGATCTGTGTCCCTTGGTCCATTATTTATAAGTACCCCATCCTTTGTAGTCTTCTCGTTTTAATATTGCTGTTTTGCAGTAGAGTTCAAGCTCTCCTCTGAAAACTATCTATAATTTCACCAAATATTCTGAGTAATTTCCTGTTCCAAGTGTTAAAATTTTTTGGTTTTGTCATTAAAAATTTTTATTTATATTAAATGAGATGTTACTCTACCTTTTACAGTTGCAACTTTCCATGTTATTTTTTAATTGCAAAAAAATATATTTATACAATTTGGAAGAAATATTAAATATTTTAACATGTGTCAAATATTGATTTTTGAAGAGAAGCTTCTATATTGATGTCAAAATTTAAAAGTCATCCAATTCATAACAATATCATCTGTTTACATTTTTTTTCTAGACACTTCTATTTATTGTAAATACAATGTCAGATTTTTACAATATCAGTTCGACTAAAGTGCAATAAAAATAGTTATTAGCAAAATATTTTAAGTTGAATTTTCATATTTATGCTTTGGAAGAGATTAAATAATAAATGTATTTTATTCAATTTTGTAATACTACTGTAATAATTTTTTAACACTATTTTTCTTCCCATTCACTTCTTCATTAATTTCGTAACTCTACTATTAAATTTTTTTCTTAAACATATTATTAAAGAGTTGTTAACTAATTAAGGTTTTGGAAGTCAGATTTATTTGTAACAAATTGATAGAAGAGGAATAGAACTTTACATTATCAAATGATTTTCTTGAAAACTCAAAATGTGCTAGTATGTAATTTATAAAATGTAAATTTGACCCTTGTTATTTGTAATAAGACATGTGTTGTTTGTTTATTCAGGTAAAAAACATTTTATAACTTTTTTTTAATAAAACTTGACAAACTGTTGAGAACATTTTATTTTCCTTTTCCTATTATTCACTAATATCACCTTAAAAATAAATGTATCAAAGTTTAATAAGCTCCTCTTTCAAGTCTATTAAGTAGCAGAAATTTCTGGGTAATGAAATGGAACCGGTCGAGATATCAAAACGTAAAAACACTCAAATGTTATTTGGCATATTTAGTTTGTCTGCAGCAGTTAATTGGGGAATAATTATGAAGTAAAACAGTCTGAAAATAACATCATGGCTCCACCAAAAATGTTTTTTGCCTTTTATGCGCTCATCATGCTCGATCAGCGTCATATTCTGTACGATTTAATTAGTAAATTAAGTGCAGTATTACCAAACACCCGCTTGCATTTTTTTTGTATAGGCTAGGATCCCTAATGGAAGGACTGTCCTATAAGTAAATGTATGTCTGTATCCCTCCACTAGAAGGGAAGGTCATACTTTCTTTGGCGCGCTGGGGGGGCTGTTGGGGGTTAATGCATATAAAGCATTATATTTGCATATAAAGAATAGTAGGAAAATGTAACTTGTCTTTCACACACAATACAAAAAATCCAAAACGCAATTTAATAATTAAATTACCACTTTAAATATGTAGAATACAATAAATATTGCATAAATACACAAAAATTAATAATATTTTTCATTATATTTAGATATAGATTGCTAATAAAAATTTAGATTGCTAATAAAAAAGAGACATCTCTATGGGAGAAGGGAGCATTTGACAACAGCTATAAAAAAAGAAGAAAGGAAAAGATCAATGGAAAGATGGCAAGAAGAGTGAAATAACAAGGAAGATGTTGCCCAGTGGACCAAGATGCTGATCCCGAGACTAAGGCACTGGGAAGATTGTCTGTTTTAGGGCGTATCTCCATAGGTTCAGAAGGACAGATACAGATAAATGTCTATACTGCGAATATTCCGACATTGTTACTTACACAATGCTGGAGTGTCATAGATGTACAGTGGAGAGAAACACAATGTATAAAGAAATAAAATACGTATAAGCGATAGTAATACTATAGTATAAACTAATGACGGGAAGTACGGAGGGATGGAATAGTGTTCACAATTACATCCGAGCAGTCATTAAAAAGAAAGAAGAATGGAAACACCAACCGGAATGAACGACAGAGATAAGATCTAATTACTATTTTAATGGGAATAAGCCACAATTAAAGGTTAAAATAAGTTTATTGACGTTTGAATCTCCACTTCGGAATACGTTCTCAAAATAAGGTAGTTGCGCTAAATATTGCTACTGTTATTAAAGTGCCACCCCGTATTACACATAGTATCGATGCTGCAACTAAGGTGGCAACAGTGGCAAGTGTCTTTGTCTATCAGCAACGTGTTTTCTATTGGGCGGTTTTAGTCTATGGTATCCATCAGAAGCTCGCTATTTATCTTTCGTTTCCTCGTTTTAAATAAACCTGCTTTTCCCGTTGACCCTACGCAAGAAATATTAAATTTTTTTGGATGTTTGTAATTAAGTTTAGGTAAGTACACTCCAGTGGTTATTATTTTATGAATTGCATGAATTATTTCAAATGAAATTTTAACTTACGGATTTTTTTTCTGAAGGTCATTTGTTCCTAATTTTGCCATTACTAATAATTCCTAATATTACCAGTGACAATATTAGAGACTAAATATTAAACTCTTTTGCAGAATGCCAAGAAAACGAGCTGAGTGATCAGGAGATCTACGCTCGGCGCTGCAAATCATAGCGAGCGGAATGTCAAAGGAGCTGCCAAGCATTATAACATTCCTCGCTTAACGCTAGGTCTTTATCACAGAACACATAATACCGTAAGAAAGCTTGTAAGATCACCTGTGTTGTCTGCAGCACAAAAAATGTTCTTGTCGAAAGAATTTACACATTAGTTGAAGTAGGTATGCCTATTACAAGCAAGATTCTAATAAAAAGTGTGTTTTCCAGTTTTCATATTTTTATAATAATTAAAATTACCTCTTGTCTTTCTGTTCTGGTTAATGGGCCTCAGTTTGTATCGACGTTGCCTTTTATTTCGAAGGCTCAGTGCTGCTCGAATACAAAGTATCAGTGCCGCTGCACCTAACAAAGGCTGAGCATTTTCCATTGTATTAATTTTCAAGCAAAAATTAATAATACCAAATCAAAAATGTAAGGCAAGAAATTAAGATGTGATCTTTAACGCCAAAGCCAACCGAAAGTTTATAAATCAGCCTTTACGCTAGAACAAATCATATACCAAATCCGTTTTCTAAAGAGTCAAATAAAGCTGGTAGAATATAGCTTAAGTAATTCTTGTGTAGCCATCTTGCGTAGCTAGGCGAAAAGCTCGACTAATGAATACCGCTCGAGCCCAAAAAATGAATACAAGATTCGTTGATGACTTCTTTCATAAACGGGGAGGAACCATAGAAAAACTAAACCTATTTTACAAACTTGGTAGGTAGCATATATATTATAGACGAAAACAGGATGCAGATTGAAAATCCATAAGCAACAAATTGTTTTCGTTAAAAGGGGAGCAAAACGGGTACATTTAACCGCACCAGAGCACGGAGAAAACATGCCAATTGATGGTTACGGAAATGCGCTTGGTCAACCTGTACCACCTTTTATGCTATTTAAACGCCAAAGGTTTAAACCTAAATGGTCTGATTACTTGTCCCCTGGCTCAAAAGCTATTGTCACAAATAAAGTTAGTACGACATGCGAAGCATTTGTTTTGTGGTTTGACCATTTCTTTTCATTCAAAAACCCTGGTCCTACTCAATTACTATTTGATGGAGCTTAAAGTCACCTATATATTTCCACAGTTGAGGCAGATAACTGCATGGACATAACTTTATTTTGTCTTCCTAGCAACACGTCACACGAGTTGTAACCTATGGACAAACCAGTGTTTAAAAGCTTTAAGACATTTTGGGACCAAGAAGTTCTACAGCTTTTAACAGCAAACCCTGGCAAGGCGATTACCAAAATGAGGTTTGGAGACATTTTTTACTCTATTTTAGTTAAAAGCAATGATACCATCAAACATTATCTCCGGTTTTGCATTTACCGGCATTTATCCGTTTAAACCTATACCTGAAGCTGCCTCTGCACCACGTTTAGTCACTCACAGAGAAGAAGACGAACTACATCCCAGTAGCTTCCAAGATGTATCATTGTTAGAAGTTCTAGCAAGTCGGTTAAACCGCATATAAAAACGAGGCGATTACACGCCGATATCAAGTGCTAGAGAAAATTAATAACAAAAAAAAGAAGCGTTTAATTACTGTCTCAAGTAGCGAATTATTATTAGATATGTCTTTACGATGGCTCACTTGAAGATGTCTTTAGCTAATATGTACCTATAAAGAAATCTAAGAGGAGCAGCAGCTCTGAAGATGACAGTCCAGTAATTTAATTAAAATATACAGAGAGGCAATACGGTTACAAAAACAACAACAAAATGTAATCCGGGGTCTAATCAAGTAAAATCTTGCTCCAAATGCTTAAACAGTTCTTTTAAACGATGCAGGGCTTGGTAGGCGGATAATAGGTACCTGAATCTTTGGCACTGCTATCTTTAGTACTTTAAACTAAAACCCACATTTTAGGGACCCAAAATGGAGGTAGTATAAAAAAAATTCGAAACCCCCCTCATGCTAATTCTGGGTGCGCCACTGCATACTTTATTCGGGATGCCGCACTATTATCAGTTATCACTAAAAATTGCATTACTATTATTATAATGTAAGTCACATTTCAATAGATTAACAAAAATAATTTAATGGTTTAGGTAGTAAGTTTTGAGGAAAATAATAAATACGTTTATTATTTAAACAAATTTATTGTTTTTCTAATACAAAAGTTTTAACTTTTTTTGGCAGAGCTTCTTCATCTTTCATATTCCTTCAAGTACAAATATAAATCTTTCGAAAAAAAAATCGACCCCAGGTGCTTATTCAGAAAGTGATTTGCTTGACACTGTTTATTCACCTTTTAAAACTTTTCTTCGGTATGCGATCTCAAATGTGGTTTTAATCAACTGTCTGAGAGTATACTTTAAAACAAATTTCACACCTATAGGTTATTTGCCAGTGTGTACTTTCAAATGATTTGTCAAGTTGCCTGTTGTAATAAATTGCTTCAAACAAATTTCGCACTTGTAAGGCCTTTCTCCAGTGTGCACTCTCGAATGACTCCTCAAATGACTTATCTGAGAAAACTGCTTAAAACAAAATTCACACTTGTAAGGTTTTTCGCCAGTGTGTATTCTCGAATGACTTGTTAAGTTACTTCCTGTAGTAAATTGCTTAAAACAAATTTCGCACTTGTAAGGTCTTTCCCCAGTGTGCGATCTCATGTGACGGCTCAAGTGATTTGCTTGTGCGAACTCTTTACAACAAATTTCGCACTTGTAAGGTTTTTCTCCAGTGTGCAATCTCGAATGCTTCTTTAAATTTGTAGAAGCATGAAACTGCTTCAAACAAACTTCGCACTTGTAAGGTTTTTCCCCAGTGTGCGATCTTATATGATATTCCAAACGACATTTTTGTATGAACTGTTTAAAACAAATCTCACACTTGAAAGGTTTTTCGCCACTGTGAAATCTCAAATGAATTCGCAAGTTACCTGCTGTAGTAAACCGCTTAAAACAAATTTCGCACTTATAAGGCCTTTCTCCAGTGTGCAATCTCATATGTAGTTTCAAATGAGACGGTCTAGTAAACTTGGTAGAACAAGTTTCGCACTTATAAGGCCTTTCTACAGTGTGCAATCTCATATGTAGTTTCAAATTAGCTGGTCTAGTAAACTTGGTAGAACAAGTTTCGCACTTGTAAGGCTTTTCTCCAGTGTGAATTCTCATATGTACCTTTAATAAATTCCTATTGGCAAGTTGCTTAAAACAAATTTCACATCTTAATATTTTTTCTTCAACAAATGGGCTCAGCAAAAGTTGTTCCAAATTAGACGAATGTATAGGTATAGCTTTCATAGTTTCCGATATGCTCTCATCTTTAATGGTGCCTAAAAGAAAAACTAGAATATATATTTTTTAAGGGAAAATTTAAAATTTAATGTAACAGGATTGAAATTAAACAATGAAATGAAATTAATGACAATAACAACAATATCAAATGAAATGAAATTAATGATGGTATAATAGTATAAAACGATTTAACTAAACTATAATAAAATATACAGTTGTTCTTTACATCTTTACCCGTGCGTCATTAAATAGCTGTCGAGATAAAATACATAGGGTAAGTTAACTAAAAGTAGTAATTGACCAATTAAAGAAATTTTCATAATTAAACTCATATAAGTCCTTTACTTTTTATTCTACACAAAACAAAAATGCTGAAATGTTCACTTATAATCTAAAGTCGTGTAAAAAGCGATATATATATATATATATATATATATATATATATATATATTATATATATATATATATATATATATATATATATATATATGAAGATAAAGCGAGATGTTTTGCCAATTTCTGAGTGGGGCAGTTGTATGCACTGACGATGGGTCTTAGAGGAACATTGGGCTTATGGATTTTTGGAAGGCCGTATATCTTTGGAATTCGGGATGATTTTTCTCTGGGTATAAGGGATTTTTTGATGTCTGAAGGTAGAGTAGACTTATTTATGATGGATTTGGTCGTTTTTTCTAGATAAGTGGTGGGATCGTTTGGGACGCGTTTGTATTCTGTGGAATTGAGAAGTTCGAACATTTTGTCGAAATAATTAGAAGAGTTAAGAATGACGGTGGCATTACCTTTGTCGGCCGGAAGGATGACAATGTCAGGGTTTTTATAAAGTTCTTTGAGGGCGCGTCTTTCTGAAAGACTGATACTTGACGGTGGGGGTTTGGAAGTATGGAGAATTCTGGCGACATCTTGTCTGGCGACTTCGGCTTGGTCAGAAGGAAGATGAGAAATAGCTTCTTCAGTTTGACAAATAATTTTCTCAGTTGGGATTGAAAGAGGTGTGACAGAAAAATTGAAGCCTTTTGATAGAGCTTTGGTAGCTGAATCGGATATGTATCATTTCTTCTCCAATACCTGTATCATCCTTTGCTTTATCTTCTAATTCTTCCGTTATATCACGTCTTTCTTCTTTTGCGGTTTTCACATAATTTGCGTCATCTTCTATTATGTCATATTTTTCTTCACCTCTGTCGGTATTATCCTTCACTTTATCAGCTAACCCTTCTATCGTGTCGTCGTTATCTTCTCCTGCTATAACGTTTGCTTCAGCTGCTAACAAACTAAACCTTGCTTCTTCTTTGTCTCTTATATTATTTGTTTTATTTTCTTTAATGTTATTCTCTTCTTTTCCTGCATCTAGAACTTCACTTTTCACCAGAATTCAGCAAAATTGTTTACCTATTTACCATGAATCGGAAGGAATACGACCAGAATTTGCAGCAGCATTGATCAATGAAACCCCATTTAATTATTTTTCTGCATTTGTAGATAAGGATATCATGGAGACCATGATTCATAAATCAAACCTTTATGCGTCTTAAATACTAACTTCTGGAGAGGATGTTCCAGAAAGTTCCAGATTACATCAGTGGACTCCAACTATGACTACTGAAATGTATAAGGTTTTAGATGGGGTTGGTAAATATGCCCACAATATGTCATTACTGGAGTTGAAATACATTATATAGTAACTTTGCACCAAAGGTGTTGAGTCGAAATCAGTTTGAGTTATTGATGCAGGTTTGGCATTTTACAGATAATACATTGTGTCCACCAGGTGATCGCACATTTAAACTTCAGCCTCTTGTTGATACACTTGTAAAAAATATCAACACATGTACCACTTAAAACCCACAAATATGGAATAAAAGTATTCAAACTGTGCTCTGGAGGAGGTACCTGTATAAAATTATTAATAATTCCTGTAAATCTATTACTGAGTTTTGCAAAAAAGTGTACAAAGATAATGCTGTTTTATGAAAAAAAAAAGACAAAGAAAATGTGGGAAATGAAACACCTAAAAAAAGCGAAAATCTGAAAATATTTTTAGCAAAAAGGAAGGACCTTCACACTGTAGTGACATGCATAGCAATATATAAAATAAATAGAAACAAACAGAAAAAATCAGGCTTATAAAGATGAAATCTATTGAATGTATTTAAAATCACAAAGAATAAAAAGTTCATCTTACATTTTGTATTATTTATCTCACCTGAGTTATATTCATCTGGTTCATGCTTTAAGTCTTCCAAATCTAGAGATGTAGATAACTCACTTTTTATATATCTTGGGGCACCTTCAACAAATTCTTCCTTAATTTCAGCTTTTACAACCATAACTAATAAAAAATAGGTATTACACCACATTGTTAACTACTATTCTATTACTTGTCTTACCTGAATTACCTTCTGGTTCATTATTGAAGTATCCCAGATCAAGGGATGTGGATGGGTGACTTATTAGACATTTTGAGTCTTCTCCAACAAACTCATCCTTAATTTCAACTTTTTCTTCCATAGCTAATAAAATAGGAATTGGTGAATTGGGATTTCATGCAATGAACATATAACCTATATATACATAGATATATTTGATATCAATATCATAGATAAGGTTAGAACAATATTATTTTGATCAGTGTTGTTAACTCCAAAACTGAATATTTCCGGAGAGGGCGCTTCAAAAATCCGTAGAAATCCGTAGAACAGAAACATAGCAATTTGTATGTGTGTCTCAGCCACAATGCCCACAATATGACGAACGACGATGCAACACTGACTGCATACATTGAGGGATCAATTCAATTGAAAATTTAAATGGAAAAAAATGTATGCTACCTACATGACTCGAGGTGTACGGTGTTTCAATAATTTACTAAGTACATACTTGTTTATGCAACAAATTTATTTGACAAAATATATCTAAACAGAAACATTCATATTCCAAGAAAAATAAAAAAACCAGATATAAAAAATATACAGAAAAATATACTAAATAAAAAATATACAGAAAAAACAAATACCTATCTAACCGAATAAAAGCAACAATTAATCTATTAAGCCTTATCCTCTTCCTCGGATGATGACAATACTTTGTCATCATTGTTTAAATAAAATATATTTTGTCTGCATCGTTAAAGTAGATCTCGTATTTATGTTAGGGCGGGGAGTCCCCAATGTAAATCTCAGCATTCCATCTGAGATCACTGTTATTCCCCTAAGCGCCGGGGATTCACCTGTTACGAAAATTGAAATTCATCCCTACTCCTACTATTACACTACAAGTAGAGTTCTTTTTCACGGCATTACAGAGAACGAGGACTAGATGTCAATTAATTATTTGTCTATTTATGTAAAAAGTTAAGAGTAAAAATTCAATTTTTATAAAAAGCTAAGCGTAAAAAATCCCAATTTTATTCTTGATTGCTTCAGCTGAAAAATCCGTAGAAATGTGATCGATATCCGAAAATCCTAAATAATTTCGAAAATCCGTAGATCTACAGATAAATCCGTAGAGTTAACAACACTGATTTTGATATTTGACATTAAATGTAAGCTTAATATCAATTAATATGAACTATTTTCACATTTGGTCCCCCTGAAAATAAAGATAGCCTCAAATTAGCTGTCAATTAAGTTTCACAGAACAAATATTGCGTTGGCAGTGTTGCCAAGTTCTTATAATGTATATGTTATATGTTTCAAATACAAATAGATAAAGCTTTTAAAAGGTACATTTTTATCATATTATTTTATGGATTCTGCAATTTTATACCTTATATAAAATATTAATAAAGTAATATTTGTTTCGTTTGAAATTAGTTGTAATTAATTATTAGAAAATTTTTTTGGCAATTGCCCTTTGATAGGTTAGCGGATGGATTTGGCAATAGAGTCAGAACCCTCAAACCACCAGCTGCCAGATTGCAACAGCGCAATAGATGCCTTTTAAACTTTATCATTTATACTGACATTTTACTATTTACTGTTAAAAACTGTTTTAAAACCATTTACTTTTTTTTTTTGGCAATCATTAAATATTAGTTTTTACATATCTTATTGCTTTTAATTGCGTATGTTTCATTTGTAATGTAAATTTCAATACTGCCAAACACCAATATTTCATTCTGTCAAACCCAATTGAAGCTATCTTCAATGGGACCAAATGTGAAAATCGTCAGCTTAATATACTTTTTACTATTTTATTATATTATTTATCTATGGTACCTGCAGTGGTGGGATGATTTTCAAATGATCTTTTTCTATTTTGATGGCAATCAAATATATGAGGCACTACATTAATTTTCATTTTTTTCTGACCACCCATTAACTTGTATTTAACATAGTTATCCATATCTTCTTCAAGCTAGAATAAATGAATAAATAACTAAATAAGCCATATAAAAATATGTGATATTATGAATAAATATAGTAACAATTAAAAACATAAGGTTATTTGTAATACAAGGGTAATACTATACTTAGTAAATATTACTGCTTTGTGGAGCAAAGAAATATAATTAGATATAGAGTCTGATTTTTATACTCACATTAAAATGATCCTCACATACGTGGGCTTTAGTATTCTGTAAAATATCTTCCTCATTTTTTCTACATGCCTTCAACCATTTTAAACGGCGTGTTTTATCTTGAGGCATACGAATAAATATCTTTTCTGGCGTTTTATAAGTTGTATTGGAACACATTAAAACCATACAATATTTGTAATATTGATTTTGTGTTTGAACTACTGTTCTATTAGTTGTCTTATCTGAATTACCTTCTGGTTCATTCTCGAAGTATCCCAGATCAAGTGATGTGGATGGGTGACTTTTTGGACATCTTGAGTCTTCTCCAACAAACTCATCCTTAATTTCAACTTTTTCTTCCATAGCTAATAAAATAGGAATTGGTGAATTGGGATTTCATACAATGAACATATAACCTATAGATATATTTGATATCAATATCACAGTATGTTGTTGTCTATACTGTGTCAATATCGTAGGTAAGAAGGTTAGATCAATATCATTTTGATATTTGACATTAAAATGTAAGCTTAATATACTTTCTACTATTATATTAGGTTTGTTCTAGCATCAGTTTCAAATGGTTTGAAACCATCAGCGAATAGTGGACCATGCGAGTAGAGGGATATAGCACTGGTGACTGTATTATTTTCACTCGCTGACCAACTGTTTGCTGACGGTTTCTGACTAGTTGTCTGTTTGCTAGAACAAACCTATTATTTATCTATGGTACCTGCAGTGGTGGGATTATTTTCAAACGATTTTTTTCTATTTTGCTGGCAATCAAATATATGAGGCACTACATTAATTTTCATTTTCTTCTGACCACCCATTAACTTGTATTTAACATAGTTATCCATGTCTTCTTCAAGCTAGAATAAATGAATAAATAACTAAATAAGCCATATAAAAATATGTGATATTATGAATAAATATAGTAACAATTAAAAACATAAGGTTATTTGTAATACAAGGGTAATACTATATATAGTAAATATTACTGCTTTGTGGAGCAAAGAAATAAACATAAAATAGCTAAGTATGTATAATGATATGTAGATGATTAGATATAGAGTCTGATTTTTATACGCACATTAAAATGATCCTCACATACGTGGGCTGTAGTTTTCTGTAATATATCTTTCTCATGTTTTCTACATGCCTTCAACCATTTTAAACGGCGTGTTTTATCTTTGGCACATGAATAAATATCTTTCCTGGCGTTTTATAAGTTGTATTGGAACACATGGGAACCATACAATATTTGTAATATTGATTTTGTGTTGCTTCCATAATTATTAATGATATATTATTAAAGCACAGTTAATAAAAAGAAAATATCCACAACAAAATCTAAACTTCCAATCTAAACAAGTTGATTTTTATTTTTACAGTTGATAGTTTGTGGCAACAGTGTTGCCAGTTCGTTATTCTCTTGTCCTGGAACGAGCAGCGTGACGTCATATAGCTCGTCGTGTTGTTTAAAAAGCTTGCCATCATAACTTTAAACGTTCATTGTAAATTAAATATTGCGATTTGAGGATTGATATTTGGTATCAAATATAATAAATAAATAAATAAATAAAATTGTCAAGTTCCCTATTTCCAGAACATCAACCTTAGAGTTCAAATTTTCCTAACACAACTAATAATACGAAACCCATACGGAATTGCTCGATCTTTCATAGGCGTCAACATGGTGGAATAATCAGAAAAATGTAATCATCATTATATGGGAAATTTTAGATTATATTGATTAAATAACCAAAAACATTTGTTATTATTAATAATATAAATTTTGAAATACCTATTGAAGTCTAATATTTCACAAATTAATAATTTTAATCAAATATATTAGACAATTGTACGCAACTGATACGGAAGGACTTCAAATTTTTTTGACAGTTCAGCGGGTGGCAAAAGTGTATTAAGTGTTGCCGCTTTTTTAGAGTAGGAACTTTGTTTATGTTTTGATTTCTTACACAATTTGATCATAATATAATATAATTGATAAATTGGATTTATAAATACATAAGATAATATATAGATACGCATTATGTAAAAATTAATACTTACCTGAAGCATTTTCCTTATAACTTTCACACATTTGTTCTGGCTAATTGGCTTAGTTCCAGTACCATAAAACAAAACACATATTAAATTTATATTAATAGCTTTAAAAACTAATTATTGTTGTGTATTGTGATATGCCAAAACAAATAAATAGTATGTAGAAAGCTGTTAAGTTTTCATATAAGATAGTTTTTTTTAAACAAGAAATAATGGCAGGACGTTTTTACTATTAATGCCCTAAAAGAGGTAAGTTTAATATTTACAATATATAATTTTGTATTTAAATTTTTTCCTATGTATTTTTATGTGTTGCAGTAGTCTTAAGAACCAGTTAAAACAGTGTATTTACTGTTAATATAATAGTTTGACAAATAGGTGACATTTTAAAAATTCCTCACTTACTAACTATTCTGATGTTTTGGCAAGGCTGTGGGGTTCTGACATCGAGCAAAAAGACAATCTGTCTTGTCTTTTTGCTCGATGGGTTCTGACGAGGTAAATCTTGAATGAAGTGCAAGCTTTTTTATATGATAAATGCTATAAACATAAATTGAACTACACTAAATTTTGTTCTGCGGCACATATTAAGAATTCTACAAATAGATCTTTATCCCTAAAGTAAAAAATAATATTTTATGAATGCTTTTTACTATGAATTCAAAAATTGTGGCTTCTCATAAAACATAATTTCCTTAAAGTGTTTAAAGTAAAGAGAGAGGACGGGTAACTCTTTTTAAATTATTTTAAATTGAGGATAATGCATGTAGTGGATTATTATAAATTCCTCCAAACAAGTAGACCATGCTGAAAAAGAGATTCAACTAAAGATTTATATATCAGAATTAGTAGTTTTTCCCTTAACTTCAATATATTTAAGGAACATCTGATTACATTACTAGATTATATAATAGAATATAAAAAATATTAAAACATGATTCCATTAAATAGATACCTTGATTACTTGCCCCCTGAGACTATAGATATTTCTATAGTTGAGGCAGATAACCACATGGACATAACTTTATTTTGTCTTCCTAGCAACACGTCACACTAGTTGCAACCTATGGAGAAATCAGTGTTTAAAAGCTTTAAGACATTTTGGGACCAAGAAGTTCTAAAGTTTTTAACAGCAAACCCTGGCAAGGCAATTACCAAAATGAGGTTTGTAGACATTTTTTACTCTATTTTAGCTAAAAGCAATGACACCATCAAACATTATCTCCGGTTTTGCATTTACCGGCATTTATCCGTTTAAACCTATACCTGAAGCTGCCTCTGCACCACGTTTAATCACTCACAGAGAAGAAGACGAAGTAAATCCCAGTAGCTTCCAAAATGTATCATTGTTAGAAGTTCTAGCAAGTCGGTTGAACCCGCATATAAAAACGAGGCGACTACAAGCCGATATCAAGTGCCAGAGAAAACTAATAAAAAAAAAACAATCGTTTAATTACTGTCTCAAGTAGCGAATTATTATTAGATATGTCTTTACGATGGCTCACTTGAAGATGTCTTTAGCTAATATGTACCTATAAAGAAATCTAAGAGGAGCAGCAGCTCTGAAGATGACAGTCCAGTAATTTAATTAAAATATATAGAGAGGCAATACGGTTACAAAAGAAACAACAAAATGTAATCCGGGGTCTAATCAAGTAAAATCTTGCTCCAAATGCTTAAACAGTTCTTTTAACGATGCAGGGCTTGGTAGGCAGGATAATAGGTACCTGAATCTTTGGCACTGCTATCTTTAGTACTTTAAACTAAAACCCACATTTTAGGGACCCAAAATGGAGGTAGTATAAAAAAAATTCGAAACCCCCCTCAGGCTAATTCTGGGTGCGCCACTGCATACTTTATTCGGGATGCCGCACTATTATGAGTTATCACTAAAAATTGCATTACTATTATTATAATGTAAGTCACATTTCAATAGATCAACAAAAATAATTCAATGGTTTAGGTAGTAAGTTTTGAGGAAAATAATAAACACGTTTATTATTTAAACAAATTTATTGTTTTTCTAATACAAAAGTTTTAACTTTTTCTGGCAGAGCTTCTTCATCTTTCATATTCCTTCAAGAACAAATATAAATCTTTCGAAAAAAAAATAATCGACCCCGGTGCTTATTCAAACAGTGATTTGCTTGACACTGTTTGTCCACCTTTTAAGACTTTTCTTCAGTACGCGATCTCAAATGTAGTTTAAATCAAATGTCATAAATAACCTATAAGTCAAATCAGAGTTATAGGTTATTTGCCAGTGTGTACTTTCAAATGATTTGTCAAGTTGCCTGTTGTAATAAATTGCTTAAAACAAATTTCGCACTTGTAAGGCCTTTCTCCAGTGTGCACTCTCGAATGAATCTTCAAATGACTTATCTGAGAAAACTGCTTAAAACAAAATTCACACTTGTAAGGTTTTTCGCCAGTGTGTATTCTCGAATGACTTGTTAAGTTACTTCCTGTAGTAAACTGCTTAGAACAAATTTCGCACTTGTAAGGTTTTTCCCCAGTGTGCGATCTCATGTGACGTCTCAACTGATATGCTTGTGTGAAGTCTTTACAACAAATTTCGCACTTGTAAGGTTTTTCTCCAGTGTGCAATCTCGAATGCCTCATTAAATTTCTCGAATCATGAAACTGCTTCAAACAAACTTCGCACTTGTAAGGTTTTTCCCCAGTGTGCGATCTGATATGACATTTCAAATCACATTTTTGTGTGAACTGTTTAAAACAAATTTCACACTTGAAAGGTTTTTCGCCACTGTGAAATTTCAAATGACTTCTCAAGCTACCTGCTGTACTAAACTGCTTAAAACAAATTTCACACTTATAAGGCCTTTCTCCAGTGTGCAATCTTATATGTCGTTTCAAATGAGCTGGTCTAGTAAACTTGGTAGAACAAGTTTCGCACTTGTAAGGCTTTTCTCCAGTGTGAATTCTCATATGTACCTTTAATAAACTCCTATTGGCAAGTTGCTTAAAACAAATTTCACATCTTAATATTTTTTCTTCAACAAATGGGCTCAGCAAAAGTTGTTCTAAATTAGACAAATGTGGAGGTATAGCTTTTATAGTTTGCGATATGCTCCCATCTTTAATGGTGCCTAAAAGAAAAACTAGAATAAAAATTTTTTAAGGGAAAATTTAAAATTAAAAATTTAATGTATCACGATTTGACATTAAACAATGAAATGAAATTATTGACAATAACAACAATATCAAATGAAATGAAATTAATGATGGTATAATAGTATAAAATGATTTAACTAAACTATAATAAAATATACAGTTGTGTCCATGGTTCTTTACATCTTTACCCGTGCGTCATTAATAGCTGTTGAGATAAAACCCATAGGGTAAGTTAACCAGTAATTGACTAATTAAGGAAATTTTCATAATTAAACTCATATAAGTCCTTTTACTTTTAATTCTACAGAAAACAAAAAATGCTGAAATGTTCACTAAGATCGTGTAAAAGCGTTGAAACTAAACCTAAAAATTTTTTTTTAATAAAAATAGTAGGTATATATATAAATTCGTATTCTTCCGGTTGTTGCCCACTTGACAACTAGTGTTTGACCATGTTTTCCCAATAATTGATCCATACCAAACAATATAAATAAAACTTTAATTTCATGTCATCAACCAATGTCACGTCCACATATCGAATGTCGATTCGAATACCAACGTTAGTTTATATATATATATATATTATATATATATATATATATAATATATATATATATATATATATTTATATATATATATATATTATATATATATATATATTGTTATGATTTTGTATTTTTGATTTTAATTTATTTACTTGAAACAATCACAAAAATATACTTTCTCGTTATCAATGTCCTAAAAAATAAACTTCTGATATTTCTTATGTTCAGTGAGTTCAAAGTTTTCTAGTTGTATTTATCGGGATAGGAAAAACAAAGGATAATAATAAAAAGTATAATACATAAAATACAGATATTTTTTATTTTATAAAAAGAAACAATTATTAAATTTGCCGTTATCTTTTCAATCAGCGAATATGCATGTAATGAAATTAATACAAAAAGAAAATTTTAATTCTTATTTTCTTCTTGAGACAAAACAATTTGAAACTAATTTAAATTTGGATACCTTTATAAACTTTTATCTTCCTTATATTTAAAAAATCTATTTTATTATGGAAACAAAACTTTAAAACATTTGATAAATGTAAAAAGGTCTAATCATGCTTTAAACTGGTAACAACAATGAGGTAAACAAATCGCATTTAAGATTTACACACCTTTCAACTTGAAAAAGGAAAATATCTGACCTTTCTTCCCTGGATTGTTTTAGGACCACACAAAGAATTGTCCACCTTCCACAGCAATGTGTTCTTCCACCTTGCGCCTCGGCTTCTTGTTTCAGTATCTGCTCCTTCAGCCAATTTAACTGACTTAATTTAACCTCCTGACTCAATTCTCCAACACTTAACACACGAAAATCACTTCTTCAAACATTCATATAACTTCTTCGTGACCCAAGGATCTCTTTTCTCACCTGGTGCCACAACTATTTAACACGTATTCCAGAAACTGCACACTTTAGATTCAAGGATTTCTTTACATCGACTTGCAATCTACTTCTTCCACAATTCTGCTAACAAGACTGGTAACTTTATCCACTTAACAATGCCGGCCTCCAACTCACGAACACACCGCCTGTCGAGACGCAACCTTTCTTTTCGATCACTCAAACATCACTGTCTTCTCGAACCAACAAAAACTCTATCAACCCTCGGTCTGTCGATTTCCCCTTCCAAAAAGATCGTCTCATCACAAAATCCAAATTTGTTTACCACACTTGTTGGAATGCTAATTACCGTTTTCAAGCAAGGAACTTTAATCTTTTAACAATGGTCATTTCCTTGTAAACAAATAATTTTTATACATTTCAAAGATTTTTGCCTTAGTCATAATAGAAGATTTATACAACACAATACCGGACTAATCCTTCAGGTAACAGCTTATTTTCTATAATGTACAAATGGTTTGTCAATAACTCGTTTAGAATGGCTTAGTTCTTTATAAGTCATAAAATTTCGGTACTAATCTATCTATTTACAAATATACAAACTTTCTATCTTAAAATTAATACATATTTTGTCTTCAGATTTCTTAAAAACTTACTTCCGATGGATTCCTTAATTATTTTTGTTCCTTCCGCGTTTGTGGAAGAAGAAGTATAATAAATCCCCGCCTTTGCATATGATAAAAATTACTGAATTATGTAGGGATTTTTCTCTTATGCAAACATTCTTTGTCTCTTATTCATAATATTTATAAACATCGTTGATATTATATATTCCCCTAATCTTGTCTGAATCCAAATGCTTCAAAACATAACTATTTATACCATTATCATTGTTTATTACGTAAGGACCCTCAAAACAGGCATTAACTTTGCGCATACATTGCCAGGGATGTTGGACACTCGCAATGCTCTCACCATAACCTTCTCACCTTTTTGGAAAGTAACTGGTCTTCTTTCCTATTTTGATCTTGTCTCTGGATATATTTTTCGTTTGCTCTCCGCAATCTCCTTTGCACATCTTCCAACATTTTATTAATTTCTTCTTTCACCTGTTGTCGATACTTATATGGAATCGGGTACGTTTTCGATCGAAAATTTCCCAAGTTTTTTACCTCAAATGAATGTTCGTACTTTCTGGCCACTCTGTTTTCCTCATTTATCAACGTTTCGTATTTTTTTAATATCAAACGCAACTCATTTTCTCTTTCTTCTCCACACATCAATTTAATTTCTCTTTCCTCAGATTCTTGACACATATTTATCGTCCATTCTTCATCCTCTTTTTCATTAATCTCTTCCCTAAAAACCACTGTTTCAATTATGTCGTTTTCATCTTCCTTTGTTGATATTCTTTCTTCTTCTTCTTCTTCGGGGCTCATCTCTTCTTTTGAGGAATCCCCGGTATTGACTTCCTTTATCCTTTTCTTAAGTCTTTTCCTTTTTCTTCTTTGTCCTTGCTTCGTTGCCAGATTCATTTCCACTGTTTGTTCTTTCTCCGAAATATCAATTTTCTGTTTCCCATGTTCGTTTTCCTGTTCTCCTTCCTTTTCTTCAGTCAGTTTCATCGTGTTATTTTTGAAATCTATTACTACATGTTTTTCTGCCAGTTCGTCCACTCCTACAATCATGTCATGCGACATGTTTGGCATTATTACACATTGTAATGCATACATTTTTTTATCCAGTCGTACCATCACTCGTATGCCTTCATTTATCGTTGCCAAAATCCGTTTATTCGCACCCACCAAATTTACCCTTGGTATTTTGTATATTAAATTTGTCAACTGTACTTCTTCTATTAATTTTCTGTTTATTAAGGTTATTTCTGACCCGGTGTCTATCAAAATCTTTATTGGTCTATTGTTAATGAAACCATCTACAAATTTTAAATTAACTCCTCTTCTTTCCTCATTATTTCCTGCCAATTTAATGAATTCCTTCGGGTGACAAAAAATTCCTGCCTGGTTTTTTGTTTTTAGTGGGTGCTTTCGTGAAAAACCGACTGTTGTTCTTCCGTATTTCTTCTCTCATCTCTATTTCTTTCATCCTCATTTTCTTCTATTTGTGTATGATTTACCTCTCTTCTATTTTCTTTTGGTCTGTCATATCCGTTTCGGTTTCCACGATATTCCTGTTCATTTCGTCTATTGTAATTTCTGTTTTCTGGATATGTGCGGGTGTTATTTCTGTTTTGATTTTCTCGATATCTGTCTTCATTCCATGGCCGATTTCTGAAATCATCATTTCCTCTTCTATTTTCCCGATTCTCGTTTTCCCTCCTGGGAATAAATTCTCGTCTAGTGTAATCCCTCCTAAAATTTTGTCCTCTCTCTCTGTATTCCTGAGTTTCTCGATGTCTATAATTCTCTTGTGACCTTCTTGCTCTTCTTTCCTGTATCCGTGATGCCCTTATTTGTAGGAATTGGCATAAACTATCGATATCTTTGTAGTTTTGTAAATTTATGTGGTCTTCCATTGTGTCTTCAAAGTGTCTTGCAATCAACTCGACTAATTGCTCAGATGAATAATTGTATTGCAGATGTTTTGCGTTATTGTACATTTGCAATGCGTATGTTTTTTCTGATATACCCATCTTCTCATGGTATTTCCCATTTTGCAATTCCTTATTTATCTGTAATTGCTCTGTCTTTCCCCAGAAAAAACTCAGAAATTTGTTTTCAAATTCTTGCCAATTTTCAAAGTCCTCCACTTTGCTGTCAAACCATAGACTTGCCTCATCTTTGAGATGATTTCTGATAACTTCCTTAGCTGTCTCAAAATTTCCCATGTATTGTATCTTCTTCTTTAGATTATTCATGAACGGTACGGGGTGTAGTTTTCTTACATCCCCGCCAAACTGTATTTTTATTTCGCCGGAATTCAGGATAACTATTTCTCTTGTTTCTCCGACTCTATTTTGGTGTCTTATTTCCTTAATTAAATTTTCATTCCGTTTCAATCTTATTTCTATTTCTTCCTTATCTTCTTGCAGAGCGTTTTCAAACTTTGTTTCTAACTCTTCTAATTCCTTTTCCATTTTGTTTTTCATTTTTTTAATTTCCACCTCTTGTTCTGCCATTTCTTTTTTAACATTCTCTAAGCAACTTTTAACTTCTTTTATCACTTGTTGTGTTTCCTGTCGGTTTTTTTCTATTGCTTGTTTCGTTTCACGTTGATTTTCTTCCATTCTCTTGTGAGTTTCTCTTTGATTCTGTTCCATTGTTTTATCCACTTTATCCATTTTTTGCATCATTATTTGTAACATTTTCTCTATTCCTGACAATTCCTGTTGTTCTGATGCCATGATTGTTGTTTCAAAAATGTCTTCTTGTTCTATATGTTCTTCTTGTTTTTTGTTTTCTTTGCTTTTGCTTCTCGTGATCGACATGTAGTTCAAATTTATCCCCGCCTGATATGAAACTCTTAAATTTGTGCAATAATATCCCCGCCAAATATGAAATTCGAGTAATGTTGCAAAGACGAAAAAATTTTTCTCTTATCCCAAATGCAATAAATTTAAATA